AAAAAAAAAAAAGGAATGGATGAATGGAAATAAATGCATGCATATAATATACAACAACCATCTAGTCACAGCTACTGCAATAAAGTTTATGACTTAATTATCCAAATGAGCACTCTTGGGAAATGGTTCACCTTACTGTGCTTCTATGTCTTCATCTTTACAGTGGATTTAATATCATAATGAGTTCTGTGGGAGTCAACACTGAACTCATTACTATATATGAAGCACTTTGCTTCTAAACTATAATGTAGTCTGTCTGGAAGGGTCTTCTGAAGGTTCAGATAAGTCTCTGAAAATAGAGTATGGCATGACTTGGAGGAAGATCATGGCTTGCAGGATGTGAGAGACATTTTCTGTGCTGTTTCCCAAGCTGTCCTCAGTATTATTAGCTCAGCTGTCCCCAACACTATCAGCTCAAGTGCAACCCGTATCTTCCTTGAACTGTCCTTTGAGCTCCTTTCTCATAGAAGGCCTTTTGTTCTCATTAAGCAAAGAATACCTTTGTTCTCATCATATATTCATCATATACATCAAGACAGTATGCTGCTTTAATAAGTATCATGGTCAATAAACTCACTCCTCGCATGTCTCAACCACCTGAGTACTGGTATTACAGGCATGAACCACCACGCCCTGAATAAATTACAGATTTTTAGACCAATGAAATCATAAGTCCGCACCACCTGGACAGTTCATAAGAAAGGTGTTATTAATGTCTCTGTTAGGCAAATTATTTAATGAGCAGTGAGGTATCTACAGGAGCTTACAACTAATAGATAGGCAACTTTGATTCAGCCAGGTCTTTTATAGACTGACTCAGTGAGGTAATTCTGGGTAGCTCACAATTATCCCTATATAATTAAGCCTTGCCTGGTCCTGAAAGTTTTTTAACTTTGCATTCCATACAAATACAGTTTGCTACACAATAAGGAAAACAATTTCCTTATGGTTATAAAGCTAATCAACTGAAATAACACGAATATGAATCAAACTCAACACTAAACAAACTTTTACAGGCTTTCCCTTTTCTCCCTATTTTAGAGAAGGACAAATAATGCTTTTCTCAAGCATCACAAATTCTTAGTTTGAACAGACTGTAAAACAGAAATTTATTAACTTGTAATTTTATCTCATAGATACAGTAGGAAAAAAACTAGAGAATGATTAGTTGTCAAAGAACTGCTTTTTGAATTCTGGCTTATACAAGCACCATCAACTAAAAAGAGTAAATGTTTAAAGAAATGTCTTCAGTGACTGCCTTTGTTCTACAGCTGGAGGAGGAGCAGCTAAATCTATGCTGTACTTTTAGAAAAATAGAGAATGAACAGTTTTCCTGCATTAGCTGCTTCTTAATTTCCTTCAGATCAACAATTCATATGCCAGTGGGAGGTATTTCAGGGTAGCATACTCTAAGCTCCCATGTTGTTAGAAGCTCCACGTTAGTTTCTATTTTCAAGATTTGAATAGGACCAAACAGAAAGAAAGCTGGATCCTAATTTATATGCTGGAGCACAAATGAAACTAAAAATAAAGCAGAAGCTGCATAATAGACAGACACCAAGACTGCTGCGTTTAACTCCTCTCTCAGGGCCTTGTTTCTCACCTTAAGCAAAAGCCAAACTTCTTGCAGTGGCCTGTGGGAAAAAACAGAATATATCACCCCAAAATAAAAGACTGTAGAGTTAAAAAACAATTAAGAAATAGATACAAAAAAGCTCTTTGTCCTGGTTCTCAAAGCAGAAGGAAAATTTATAGACAATAAGGAATGCCAGACCTCCCTCCAGGGAGAACAAAAGGTAACTTACTTACCCGAGGGAACATTTAGGTGAATCAGAGAAATGGACATTCATAAGCTTTATTAAACGTCCTGTATTTGCTGCTTGTTGTCTTTCCCTGGAGACATGGACTTTAGCAACACATAGCCCTATTCTGTCATCCTAACACTTTGTGTGTTTAGTGTCCTTTGCTGAAGGTACTGCATGAGCCAGGATTCCAATCTACTCCTTTGAGAAATACAAATTACCTGAATGTATTTCAGGTACGTGTGAAAAGTTAGTAAACTTGTTTCTCTCTTATTAATCTGATTTTTGTTTCAAGCCAAATGTCCCTTCCTGGGAGAGGGAGAGTATAAGGGAAAATTCTTCTCCCCTAAAACCTATCAGATTGCAGGTTCTGGGCCCCTGTGTTTCTCCACCTTCATCTCCTGCTGTATCCTGTCTACCCAACCTAGCACACCTTCTGCACTTCCCTCTCTTTCCTAAGCACAGCTACACATCAGGCTTCCTCACATCTCTCAGGCCTTTGAGGAAATTCTCTGCAGGAGGTCTTCACTAATGTTACAGGCAGCTGAACCAGTTAGAAATATTTAGGCAGTCAGACAGGGTTAGGCCCTCGAGGAAGCTGGCACAGAGGACCAGGTATCTGATAACCTTGGAGGGGACACATACCTCTTGCTGTGGGCCAGACTGCAAGATAGAAGGGAAAACAAATGCAACCACACCCTTAAATTTAATCCTTAGGGATTAAGTCTGTATCACCTTGAAGTCAGGAGACATTCCAATCCCTAGGGAAGAGTCACTGCTCTCTAAGAATGCCAGCTTTCTAAATATATCCTACTCTTCACCTCTGTTGTTCCTAAAATTCATTCTTGAATTTTAGAGAACATGAACTCTCAGACATAGTAGGTTGGGAGTCTCATTTCCCTGTATCACTTGACCATATCTAAATTTTAGCCCCCAATATTACTTCATGTTCTTGCCTTTTTTTTCTTATCATCTAATGTTTACACAATGTTACTTAGGTGATTCAAGTTCTTCCCATCATGGAGTCAATGCAAGCTCCAAGAGAGCAGAAATTTTGTTTTGTCCTGCAAACAAACAGACACAAACACATTATAAAATTTCAACAAATACATCAGGAACAAATACATTTAAATTTCATTACCAGGGCATGGTGGCACAGGTCTAGAATCCTGGCACTCATGAGAGTGAGGCAGCTAAGGCTACATAGCGAAACCCTTTCTCAAAAAACAAAAACAAAAAAAAAACCTAAAACAGAATAAAATTCATCAATGTTAAGTGTTGTTTATTGCAGCAGTAATGATGCCATCATAATGAGATACAAACTAAATGTAGTGGTGTATACCACTGTAATCCCTGCTCTCTTAGAAGACTGAAATAAGATTTGCTCAATGTTGAGCCTTCCCCAGGTACTTCAGCAAGTTAGCAAGATCATATTTAGAAAAAAAAAAAAAAAAAAAAAAAAATGTTAGAGACATAGCTCAGTACAAAGGCCCTGAGTTCAATCCCCAGTACCACAAAACAAATTTAAATAATTGGCCTGTGTTGATGATGAAAGTGGATAAGATGTACATAGTTTTATTAGACTTTCCTTTCATATAGTAAAATTATATAAAACACTTTTACTAAAATATCACATACTAAAAGTATTTGAAAACGAAAATATCTGAAAAAGTGACAACTTGGTAAATAAATAAAAGCCATGACAATGGAAGAGCTGATATTTAAATAAAACTTTGTGCTACAAAAAAGCCCTCGTATAAAGACAGAAAGGCATCATGGATGTTTGACAGAAAGTCTAAAATAGTGCCCACCTCTCCTTGTAGCACCTCCATAACCTGGCGCAGCCAATCATTGAATGCAGCTGTGTCTCAGTATAGACTCACATTAGCCTTGCCCTGAGAGATAGCTTTACTACCTAGGAGGAGAGGCAGGACTGCCAACTTTGGGCTGGGGCTGGAAAATTTATTGACTTAAGGTAATTCTGTTTCGAAGACTAAATAAAGGTTGCAAATGTAACTCATAGCAAAGACCTTTGGTTCAATCCCCAGTACAGAAACAGAGAGACAGAGATAGAGCTTCTTATAAATGTCAAGTGACCATTAAAAGTGACTCCCTGTAATGAGTTACACAGTTGTCAAGTATGCCCAGAAGGTCCTTTTTGGAAACTACTATTACTATTTCTCTCGATAAAAATCACAGTTCCTGTTTCAATTAGATAACTCCTTGCTAAACCTGAAGTCAAACAGAAGCTAGTCACAGGACTGGAGTTCATTTAGTGATGCCTCAACCCCAGCTGCCTATGGGTAGCAAGGATTGTCAACATTAATTACAATTGGCTGAATCTGAATCCCTCCCCCCACTGCAGCTGGGAATGGGGCCCAAGGTTGCTTTTATAAAAGTTGCCAGTCACTGTAGTTGACACCATTACGAAGTACAAAAATCTCAAGCTAGCTCATTACATATACTTAGAGAATCTCTTTGTTGTCATACAGCTGGTTAAAAAAATCACTTATCACAAGTTAAGATTTTTTATGATCACAAACTATCCTAAAACTAGGCTTCAAACTGGTTTTTATGACTAACTTCTTGGTTTTTAACTTTTGTTAGTAGAGTCTGATACAGATTCCCTAGCCCTAGATGGGGCTTGACAATCCAATTCCTATCATATTCTGATTGTGAATTTTCATGTTCCTGGTGGGTGGAAAACAATGTAAGGCATTGCATTGACACCAGAGGTCTGCTATCTTAGAAATCCTTATGGGTTAGTTTAACTTTGAAGGCACTCTACTAGACAAAGCATACTGGAAATAAAAAACCTGAATTTACTTACACTTTTACATATGGAAACTGACCAAACGAGTTGGGTATTTTTATAGTTCAACCTCCCCTTGAACTCAATGAACTCCTGCCTCAGCCTTGAGTGCTAAATGACAAGGCTTCAGACACCACACCGGAACCCAGATATTAAAGAGTAGCCTGCTCACTAGTAAGCCAATGGCCCGTTCCCATGCTTAGAAAAAACTTTGAAGGGCTGTTACAGCATTCAACTAAAAGGCATGTGCTGACTACCAACGTGCTACAAATCAGCAAGACTTAAAAACACCTTAAACTTGCAAAGTACCCTATAAATTTCAAGGTAGTCTGTAAAGCCATAAATGAAAATATGCAAAGTTGATTACAGCTATTTTACTGTGTTAGTAGGTGGCTCTTAGAAGAGCCTTTTGAGATGTTGGAAGCAGGGATAGCGTTAAGCCCTCTCCCCGCGGATTCGGCGGGCCAGCTGGATGTCTTTCGGCATGATGGTGACCCGCTTGGCGTGGATGGCACACAGGTTGGTGTCTTCAAACAGACCAACGAGGTAGGCCTCACAGGCCTCCTGCAGTGCCATGACGGCCGAACTCTGGAAACGCAGATCAGTCTTGAAGTCCTGTGCGATCTCCCGCACCAACCGCTGGAATGGCAGCTTGCGTATGAGCAGCTCGGTGGACTTCTGGTAGCGCCGGATCTCGCGCAGAGCCACAGTACCGGGGCGATAGCGGTGCGGCTTCTTCACTCCGCCGGTAGCCGGAGCGCTCTTCCGGGCAGCTTTGGTGGCCAACTGCTTGCGCGGGGCCTTACCCCCAGTGGACTTACGAGCAGTTTGCTTGGTACGAGCCATGTCAGCTAACGCACAGTGACATGAAAGAAGTGCAACAGCTTGCCATTATATATGCTCAGAAACATTCTGATTGGTCTGGATGCTTTTCAAAAGTCCCGCGCTCTAAAACTATTGGTTGAAAAGCAACAAGTTGATTGGTGCGACAATGGAGATTCTGATTGGATGAGTTACTACACTTTCTGATCCTTCAAGGTCTGTCAGTCTGAGACCTCTGTGAGTCCTATTTCTTAAATTGCTAACTCTAAGCTTCTAAAACTGTTAATACCTACAGTATAACACTTGAAAATCCTAGTGTTCTGACTTAGCAAATGTGTGCTGGGGAGGAAAGAACACACTTCAGGAACCCACATATTTTGCATTGTGCCCCACTCGCAAGCTTATAGATGGCACTTCCTAGCATGGTCTTTATGTAACTGTACTACAAATGTTGTAACACCCTAAAATTGGCCTAAATGTAATTTTTACAAAGGCTCAAAATTTGAAAACACGACTGTCTCCACCTTCCAATTAACAAATCGATTTGCTGTCGAATACAAATAGCCTAGGTTATTAATCCTAATACTTCCCAGTTTCCCTAAAACCCATTCTTCCCTTATTTTGATTTTCCTATTTCGGAAATTTATTTGTAGTTATCTTTTCTGAAACTTGCGTTGACAGCCCTTAAGAAACATTGCAATATTAAATGTTGCTTATAGAACACTCGCGTTCCCTATTCAACCTCAGCAGTGTCAAAAAACCATTGGTCAATTCAGACGCATTTCAGGTACCTAGATGGACACACGTTAAGATAAAACTCGAAACATGCCTAGCTATTGAAACCAGCAATTTCGACCTAGTGTTTTTTGCCACATACTCTTTCACTTGAAAATGTAGATGGCTCTGAAAAGAGCCTTTGGGTGTAAGAGATCGCCACATGCTGATGAACTGCTTTACTTGCCCTTAGCCTTGTGGTGGCTCTCGGTCTTTTTGGGTAGCAGCACGGCCTGGATGTTGGGCAGCACGCCGCCCTGCGCAATCGTCACCTTGCCCAGCAGCTTGTTAAGTTCCTCGTCGTTGCGGATAGCCAGCTGCAGATGGCGGGGGATAATACGCGTCTTCTTGTTGTCGCGCGCCGCGTTACCCGCCAACTCCAGAATCTCGGCCGTCAAGTACTCCAGCACAGCCGCCAGGTAGACCGGGGCGCCGGCGCCCACTCGCTCGGCGTAGTTGCCCTTACGGAGCAGACGGTGTACGCGCCCCACGGGGAACTGTAGCCCAGCGCGGGAAGACCGCGTCTTGGCCTTAGCGCGAGTCTTGCCGCCCTGTTTTCCGCGTCCAGACATCACTGAAATCTAACAACGACCGCCACGAGCAAAACTAAAAGTGAATGTAGAAGGTTGCCACCCAAATGTCAAGTAATTATACTTTCAGTAGGGATTGTAAATTGCACTCTCTGATTGGCTAACACAAACTACAGAATATAACCAATTGGAAAGCAGTTTTTGAAGTCACCTAATTTGCATGTGACGCAACGGTGCAGAAAATCTGTCCAATCAGAGCTTAAGAATTGAAACACCATATTTGCATAGAAGCCCTACAAATATTAACGCCGTTGCAGCCTCAGACTATCATTTCTTTTCCAGTTTCCTTTCTGAATTGTCTCTGTCATGCCTGAGCCAGCGAAGTCGGCGCCTGCCCCGAAGAAGGGTTCAAAGAAGGCCGTGACCAAGGCCCAGAAGAAGGACGGAAAGAAGCGCAAGCGCAGCCGCAAGGAGAGCTACTCGGTCTACGTGTACAAGGTGCTCAAGCAGGTGCACCCCGACACGGGCATCTCGTCCAAGGCCATGGGCATCATGAACTCCTTCGTCAACGACATCTTCGAGCGTATTGCCGGCGAGGCGTCGCGCCTGGCGCACTACAACAAGCGCTCCACCATCACGTCGCGGGAGATCCAGACGGCCGTGCGGCTGCTGCTGCCCGGGGAGCTGGCCAAGCACGCCGTGTCGGAGGGCACCAAGGCTGTCACCAAATACACCAGCTCCAAGTGAGCGCGCCTGCCTGCTGCCCACAACCCAAAGGCTCTTTTCAGAGCCACCCACATTATCTCTCAAAAGATCTGTAACAGGAAACTTCAGGCTAAGGCATTACGTAATGGCAGCTTTCCTTTTCCTTTGTGCTTTAAATCAAAGCAAAGGATAAAGGTATTCTACAGCTAGGTAAGATAGTAATCATTAAGGAAGACACGTTAACATTTACGTGGGGAGGGGGGGGGCTACCTCTCACTACCCTCTTTCAGCATTGCCCCTCCTTTGACAGGGTTTGTTTTCCTTTTTCAGTTTCATTTTTTAGTAATACCGTTGTCCTTGGCCAGGGAATATCCAAGCAAAGTTCTGGAATTTTGTGTGTTCCTTAATCTAAATAGGATTCCTGAAAGAATGCATGTTTCGTTTTGCTGATCTTTGATTACACACAGCTAGGGCAGTATCTGGTAAACATAACCTGGCCTGATTATACCTCTACACCACAGACCTCCCAGGCTTTTATTCGCACCATTTAGCTCAAGGTTCCAAGGTCACAAATGAGTGCACGTTTATTCATTGATTCCTTCTCCGATTATAGAAGAGTTCTATACATTGTAGTTTTTTGCCCACGTGAAATACAAGCTTTAGAAACAACGGACAACAATCTTATGAGGGAGGAGACAAGATGTGAAAATCACTCGTTTTAGAAACAAATGACCTAAGAAATTAAGGTAAAGTGCTCCTTAGATGGGATCTGAATCCCAAATCTGTATGAATCCAAGTACTAGTTCCACACCAGTTGTTTGAAACAACAAGCAGAAAGCTAATTGCAATTATAGGAGATTTAGGCTCAGTTAAAGTAAAACAGATGGCGAGATACATGTATCTAGCAAGGCAAAGTAATTTATCACACCATCAAAAATTTTTTTAAAGAAATCAATTTTGGAAACTCAAAAATCACATGAAAAAAAAAGTAGTTTTTCTGAACATCATTTTCGTAGAAGGGAAATCGTGGACATGCAATGTAAGCCTGAGCTTTGAAACCTCACCTTGTGCTTATTAGCTGTATCACTGCAAATACCTATAGACCAAATTACTCTGAATACTAAGTCAATGCTAAGTGACCTAATTTTGTAGACACGTGAAGGAAATTTTGCAAGCCTCGTGTGTTATTTAGGTTATTGATTTCTTGATTTTCAATGCTAATTTTGAAATAGATTTTTAAACAATATTGATAAGAAATCTATTTTTTGGTTTAAAAGATAAATCCCTCAGAACAAGACAGTCTTCACTAAAGCCTGGGTTTAAGCGATTTATTTAACTTCTCTAATTAGTATTCTATTACCTCTAAACAGAAGATGAACGACTGCATGACTTTGCAAAGTTGACCAATAAGAGAACACAAATAATGAATATAGTGCAGTATGTGCACAGAGGAATGTGTGTGTGTGTGTGTGTGTGTGTGTGTGTGTGTGTGTGTAGCGGTTCAAGACTGGCTGCCACGATAGGACACACTCGATCCTGCTCATCTGGAAAACCTTGAGGCCCAATACCTTAAACAAGGCAGTAGTTTGAGCAGCCAGCAGTAGAAAAGTTATTCTTCAAAGAGTCCATTCTTTGACTTCAGGACACATGAACTTGGCATGTTAAAGGTCTCACCAAAATAATTGGAAGGAGAGAAATAAATACCTTGCTAAAAATGTCACCTGGCTAAATTCCAACAGACTCTCAACAGTCAACAGAAACAGAGGCTGCTGAACTCCAAGTGATCATGCAGGTGGAATCAACAAAAGTGCGGGCTAGGGATTTGGCTCAGCTGCGTAAGTGCCTGCCTTGCAAGCACCCGGTCGTGAATTTGATCCCTGATAGCAGGAAAAAAAAAAAGTGCCAGACTCTTTTTACTGGGATTCACTAGATCAACCTTATGAAAGGAGTTCCTAACTGCTAAACTACAATATAACTTCCATCTAAGGCGCATTACATTAGATCTTTCCTGGCGTCTTCCTTACACTGATTCTTCTTAGGTCAAAGCAGCTAGGTAGAAACTATGCCCCTTCTCCCCTAACTACGACGAGGGATACCGCTGGAGAGGAGAATATTACAAACAGCCATATTAGGTAGAAATATAGGCAGTCAGACAGAGTTAGGCCCTCGAGGCAGTCAATGCAAAAGAGAACATATCTTAAGATAATTAAAGTCACAATGGCCAGATTACATACTTCCCAGGATAAACAGAAGTTTGAGATTATTGGTACAATCCTTTTGAGATTTCTCATATGAATAAATCGTTATCTCTTTAGAAGTAGGCCGTTCTCTCCCACCAAGACTAAAACTAAAGAGAATAAAACTATAGATTATCAACCAATGTTAATGGTATTGTCTGTATGCCCTTGCTACTATTGAATCAATAGTAGTGAAGTGGTTATACTTTTAATCTTATTGGTTGATTACAGTTTTGGCCCACATTTTCTCAGAGAAGCAGACTGATTGGCAACTCATTCAGGACCCCTCCTGTCACTCAGGAGCTATTCCTACCCCCATTCCTATTCCCCAATAAATATGCCTACTCTTAAAAAAAAAAAAAGGAAAGAAAGAAAGAAAGCACTGTGTGTTGGGAATGTCTGTTACCTTCCCCGCCTTGCTCCACTAAGACTCAGTTGAGAGCTGCAGAACCCAAGAGGAATCTGAATGAGACTTGTTCATTTTTTCTTAGTCTATTGCTCTTAATTTATACTGTTCTTTCATCGTATTATACTAATATTATCCATTTTTCAACAATAGCATGAAAGGTCTAGCATCTTCTTTAGGTCTTTGTATTTTTATTAAAGGCTCCCAAGCCATATAAAATATAATAAATGAGTATATCTTTTGTTAATCTACCTTCTGTTTCAGGGAGGGCCCAATCAATGAAGCTGAGATTGAAAAAAAAGATTTTTCCTCCTAAAATATACTTGAAAAATGTGTGTGTGTGTGTGTGTTTGTGTGTGTGTCTGTCTGTCTGTCTGTTTCTGAAGTAAAGAAGCAGACAGAGCATTGAGATGATCCAGAGAAAAATAATCGCAAAATGAAAGTGGTTAAGAAGTGCTTTTGTTTATTAGGGCTGCCATCACAAAGCACCACAAATGGGCTTAAACAAATGTATTTTTTACAGTTTTGGAGGCCAAAGGTCTGAGATCAAGGCTGGAACACAGTTTTCTTCTGTGCCTCTTTTCTCACTTGGCAGATGACTGACTTCTCTATGTCCTCATAGGGTCTTTTCTCTTTATCAACATACTAGGTTGAATTAGAACCCACTCAAATAATTTAATTTTCTCTCCAAATACAGTCACATTTCAGACTTAAAAAGTTGATACAATTCAGCCCATAAAAGTACAGTAATTTCACTTCTAAATTACATCAACAACCCTATGATGGTCTCAGCAGGACCAAGATTGGCCTCATTATTCTCCCTGCCAACTCCACTTAATTCATTCAGATTTAAAATCTTGTCCTTATGTGAGTATATTTATATGAGTATACCTTTACTTTCCTGAATAAATTTAAACATATACAAAATTCTATTGATTTTAACTTCTGATTTTTCAGAATATTGTTTCAGAATATTTCTGTTGACTTTTGCTAAAAAAAAATTAGAAATAGAAATGTTTAAGAGTATAACGTTGGCTAAGAATATATTTCATCCTTAATAAAATTCTATGCAGTTACCAAAAATAGTACTGTAGAAAAATAAGCATAATATGCTTATAGGGCACCAACTAACCTATTTATGTTATTTGCATTCATACTCTGGATTTAGTCATAAGGGAAAAACTGATCAATGCCACATATTAACTATTTCTATAACATTTCCTCTGAAAAGAACTTTGTTTCCTACTTGGCTATCTTCAGAATTCCCGGTGACATTTAACATACAGAAAGTTCTGTTTCAGCACTTTCTTCTCCAGATTTCCTTGTCCTACATTAAATGCAAAACAAAAAATTCTTAAACAATAAGTATGTATTAGATGAATAGAATAATAATTTGAAGATACAATTCTGTATTCAGGAAAACTTTTAATTTTTTTTTCCAGAGATCAAGACCTTGCGCTTGCCAGTCAGGTGCTTATACCACTGAGCTAAATACCTGGCTTCAGGAAATTTTTTTTTAAAGAAAAAATATAGCCTAAAAGAAAAAAAAAAAAAAAAAACAGACTGAGGCATTTGTGAATCACCTAATGCTGTAACTCTATGTTCTTATTTATAATCATATTCTACTGACCTTGAAGAGGATCAAGCAAGAAAGCTGAAAAAAACAAAGCAATGTGGTTATAAAGCACAGAAAAGCAAAACAATGTTAAAACAAGATAGAAATACAAAATGCTAAATTGTGGTTATCTCTGGCAAGGAGCAGCAGAGGGAAACTGCAACAAAGTACTTACTGTTAATCTGTGTTTTAGCCAGATGGACATTGGGTTCAAAAGTATGATCATACTATGCTGTATAACTTAGCTATGTTTAGGTAGAATTATAATTTTAAGGCCAAGAAACAATAGCATACAAATATATTAATGGACAAATCATCATCTTCCACAAAAAGACATAACCTCCATGAACAATTAAACGTTGCTTGTACGGAAATTTTGTGACAAGAAATATCACCCTGTTTAAGTACAGCACTTTGCAAAACTGCTTACACTATACTTGTTTTGGAAAATCCCTTACAAGAAATATGTTCCTTTTCCACCACAAAAAGGAAATAGTCACGTTACACACTCTTCTGACATCCTTTGTCACATTCCATTCCTGCTGTGCCTCTTTGTGGAGTGTGTGTTGACTTTCCAATACACTTTCCAAAGAAAGAAAAAATAAAGTGGAGAGTGAGGGGAAGTGGGGCTTCACAGTGTGTGATCAGCCAGCTTCACTAGCAGGGTACTGTTTGAATACAAACCTGAAGTGAGGGCTCAGTACCTGCAGAGGTCTGGAAGAGAATGCCTAAGACAGAGGGAACAGTCAGAGCACAGATCCTTGGAGACCTAAGTTCCTCTGAGGTTGAGGGGTTGGTGAATCTCGGGTAGGAAGGAGAGCAAAAGTACTGGGATTTGATGCCCAAGACTACAAAAGACCTAAAAATGAAGCCTTTGGGACCATAGAAAGTAGTTTGGTGGACAGAACAGTTCACTAATAAAACTAAACAAGGGTGTGGTAATACGAAATTTTCAGAATTTTTCAGAATTCAGTTATTAGGACTTGGATAGATTGCATGTCCAGTGTGAAAGAAAAGATAAAAATAGCTCCAATGGAAAGAGTAGATTTGCAATTCACCAATTCAAGGGGATAAGAGGAGCTCTTTTTGCAAGGTAATTTCCCAAATTTTGTTTGAACCCTACTGAAGTTATAAGTGCATGTTAATTGGACAGTCTCAAGGACTTCCCAGCAAGTACCACAGTCTGAGACTGGAACTCAAGGGGAAAACAATCTGTGGAGTGGTCATGTAATCTCCATAGTTTCAACAAGTAAACCTATCTCCACAGCAACAAGGAGATAGCAAGCAGTTCAACAGAATCATATTTTCATTCTCAGGAATCATCTATGAAAAGCTTTTGGTCAAACTAAGAGATGAGAAAAGGCAGCATTTAGGTAGAGAACTCTTCAGCAGAGTACTACCATAGGCGTCAGGAGGCCTGAAGACACTCTGGAACTGCTTTCAAAACATGGGAGAGTTAGTACATTTCAAAATGGATGTGAATATGTACTATTACGACTGCCCTTCCATAGGGACTGGCTCACAGCTCTCATTTTAAGACATTATTTGGGTGAGATTTCCAGAGTTATTGCATAGTCTTTATTGCTGACAGCATTTTTATACATAGGATAAAAATGTATTCTGTGCTGAGAATTATAAAAGAAAGGGAGAAAACTAGGTAAAATTTTATGAAACCAAAGTTCTGAATCCATACATCATGAATACCAAGTAAGCATTCCTTATTTTTCTGACCTAGGGCTCCATCCTGGTACTGCTTCTCTTCACTATCAAGCTTCTTTCCCAAAAGATTTCTTCAGACCTTATGGCTTTTCTATTCTCATGGCAGTTATATCCTGACAACTTCCAATTATGTTTCCAGCCCACTCCTTTTCCCTAATTTCCTGACTCATATATCCAACTCTGTTTCACATCACTCTTAAATATTTGACAGACATTGCAAACTCTCCCTGAACATTCAAAACTAGGCACATAATTCTCTTCAAAAATGTATTCCTCAGCCAGGCATGATGGTACACACCTGTAATCCCAGCACTCAGAAGATTGAGGCAGGACCACCTTAAGCTACAAAGTGAGCTTAAGGTCAGCCGGAACTGTATAGCGAGACCTTGTCTCAAAAGACAAAAAAAGACAAAAAAAAAAAAAAAAAAACCTGTTCCTCATATTCTTCTTGATTTTAGCCATGCAGTTTCTCCACCCCAATTTTCTTTCTTTCTTTTTTTTTTTTTTTTTTTTTTTTTGATACTGAGGATGAAACTCATGACCTCACATTTGCCAGGCAGGCGCATATGTCACTGAGCTAAATCTCCAGCCTCTCTACTCCAATTTTTATAGTTAAAATCATAGAAATCATACTGAAGAGAAAGATTTGTGTATTGTTTGGACAACTGAATATAGATGCCTTGTACTCTGGGTGAATGATTTGGGATGACAATGTGCAATGTGTGTATCATTGTTGCCCCATGATCGACGTGTTTTGAAATTTCATTTTATTTTCACTCTTTGAAATAAAATGAATTTTTAAAAAATGGATTTGAAATAAAATGGACTTGAAAAAATAAAAAAATCATAGGAATCATCTACAAATTTTCTTTCTCTGATCCTAGTTATCACTAGCTCAGACAAAAAGTCTTAAGCCTTTCTTTAAAAATATATACAGGGTCTTACCCCCTTTTACAACCTCTGCCACTACAATATTGATCCAACTCACTTCATCTCAAATATTTTTATGGCTTCTATGTGGTCACTTACCCTGGTCCCATCACATTTTTCATCAAGCATCCAGATAAAGACCATTTTTAAATATAAATCATGTCCTTTGATTATTTGCTTAATTTTTGTTTTTTATATGTATATGCATACATACATATATCAGATCCTTTGTTTGCTTCTTGATAGGATGAAGAGATAAATAGATAGATACACAGACACATCTCAGATCCTGACAGTCCTCTGCTGAAATCTACCATGGCTCACATCAGTCAAAAGTGAGGCCAAAGTAGTTGCATTAACCTACAAAGCTGTACAAAAAAATACTTCCATTTCCAAGACCAAATCTCCTTTGCCTCTGCACCTGGCCACTTGCATACTTAAGTCTTCTATTTAGAACATTCCACTTTCCCCAACCCTCACTTTATCAACAGACCTCTCTATGATCACTTCCTCTAAAACAGTACCTTCTGGCTTACAATTAGAGCATTACGAAAGCAATGAAGAAAGGTATTAATGAGGAAAGAGATGTAAACTTGAGGTAAACATAGCATAGGCAGCATTTTTTTTTCAAAAAGTATACATACAAGCATAGGTACATTTCACCGCAAAATGTTAAGTATGCAATACCTAAGCTCTCATGCTTCACATTGCTAACTACAAAGCATATGACCTATAACAAAATTTGCCTTTTTCTGCTTCAGTAATGATAGCACTGTTCCCTATAACATATTATGTGTACCTTACATTGCGCTCCCAAAACCAAGTTATATAAACTCCACGAATGAATATTGAAATATTACGATCTCTGTCATTCATTACTGCAATTTCCACAGCATATGCCAGGCCATGTATGCCTGGCATAAGATACAGCAGGAAAAGGTTTCTCTTTTGCTCTTAAAATTACATTCACATGAGGTTTTGTTCGTTTTGTCTTTTCTCAAATCAGTGCCTCTGCTCCAATAATACGTGATTCTTTTCATAGAGAGCCAGGTGTGGTGGTACACAATTATAATCCTAGTACTCAGGAGACCAAGACAGTATTGAAACTTCAAGGCTAGCCTGGGTTATCACAGTAAATTCTAGGCCAGCCTTGAACTACACAGCAAAATTGTTTCAACACACATGTACACAAAGGTGCACACAAACATGCACACACAGGAAAAAGAAAATATGAAATTTAAAATAACTTTATTAGTACTTCTAATATCAATGTATCACTCTACAGATTACTTGTTGGCCACAGGGAAAAGGTTGATTTTACAATGGAACCATCACTAAGCCAGAAATAGAGCATCATACTAAATTCGGATAAGCCAAATACCATGCACCACGACATGGTGCCACAGGATGTAAACATCAAGTATAAACCATTTCTGATAAGCATATCGGGCTGTTTGACTAAACAAGGAAAACAAAGCAGGTTTTCTTCTATAGCACATTAATGTCAAGAAAGGGAAGGAGAGGAGTGGATCTCTAAGCCAAACCAGTGACATTCGCTGTATAAAATGGACGGTTCACAAAGTACAATACTTGAGTCAACTGCATTGCTCATACGAGTACTTTTTAAAACCTGTTAACACCACCTCATTAAAACCTTTCATTGCTTTTACAATGCTCCAACTTTTTAACAGAAGTTACCTGATCCTCGGTACCGGGGAAGCCTCGGCAACACTCCCCACGGTCTCCCCAAAGTCAGTCTAAACACAGGACAGAGCCACAGACCCGGAAAAGTCGGCGGGAAAACGCAGCTTTGTTCTCCCGCCACCCCGCCTCCTCCAGACGCCATCTTGATTGCAGCAACGCGGAGCAGATTCGTGCGGTCAGCAAGAAGAGGTTCGGCTCGTTGGAGGGCAACACGCAGGAGACCCAGAACTCAAGTTCAAACCGGAGGGAAACCTCGAGCTCAGGCAAATGTATAGTCAAGCCTGCTAAACCGTAAGATTTATGCAACACAAATAGGGATCAAAAATGTTAGCTCTTTTAAAGGAAAAGGTGGGCGGCCCTGAAAAGGGCCTTTGGTTGATGTTGTTAGGAAACTGACGAGACTTAGCCGCCGAAGCCGTAGAGCGTGCGTCCCTGGCGCTTGAGCGCGTAGACCACGTCCATGGCGGTGACCGTCTTGCGCTTAGCGTGCTCCGTGTAAGTGACCGCGTCACGGATTACGTTCTCCAGGAAGACCTTGAGCACGCCGCGAGTCTCCTCATAAATAAGGCCAGAAATGCGCTTGACACCACCACGGCGGGCCAGGCGGCGGATGGCGGGCTTAGTGATCCCCTGGATGTTGTCGCGCAGGACCTTGCGATGGCGCTTAGCACCACCTTTGCCAAGACCCTTTCCTCCCTTACCGCGGCCAGACATTTTAGAGCCACTAGAAGGACGCTTGAAGAAAGTGGTCCTGTGAAGCAACAATACTGCTTATATGCACCGATTGCGGACCTGATTGAAGACTGCAGCCCGCGCACACACCTTGGCCCCGCCCCCGAAGCTCGTTTGGTGACGTCACCAATAACCCGGATTCGGGTCCCTGAGCGCAGTTTTGGCGGAAGTCTTGCCTAAGAGTCCTCTGCCGGAAGAAGAGCTTTCCCGCGTCAGATTAACCTTTCTTAATTGTCACTTGCTGTTTCTGTTTCTGTCTCTATAAGCCGACTGCAGTAGAGCTGCTTGCCGCACAAGAGTGCGCTCCTGTTCCTCTCACTGCTGTTAGGGACGGAACCACCCCAGGGTGAAGTTTGAAAAAATTCCGCTCTCCCCTTTGCCCCAGTCTTTCTTGCAGAAGACAAATCTATAGGTGGTTCCTGACTCCGCAGTATTCTGGTTAGCTGGGCAGAGATCCTGGTCTCACTCCCGGAGTCTTTTCTTCCCCTTAATTAAAATCTGCAAAGTCCATTTAAGTATCTAAGCCTCCCTTAACCTCTGCGTCCAGCAATTTCCAAGTGCTGATGTTTGATTCTAAGCTTTCTTTCCTGTGATGCCGACAGCGATTTTCCAAACACGCAGCCTGTGGTCTCCAAATAATAAAAAGGTGATTTCTCGCTGGTTGGGGAGTCACATGACACATGTATCACTTACAAAGAGAATTAAGAACCCTTTTAGGGAAGTAGCAGAGTGGCGCAGCGGAAGCGTGCTGGGCCCATAACCCAGAGGTCGATGGATCGAAACCATCCTCTGCTAGGCGCTTTTTTTTTTTTTTCTTTCTGAAACAGGGTCTCACTGTGCAATTCAGGCTGGCCTTAAGTTCACTTTGTAGCCCAGCCTTATGTCGAACAATGATCCTTCTGCCTCTGCCTTCCCTAGCCTCTTACTTAACTGCAGTCTTCTCTCTTTCTTTAAGAAAACTGCATCCAAATACGTGGGAGAAAAAATTGTGCAATTGAAACGGCTTCTCAGGAATACCTGTAAAACTATTGACAGTCTACATCTTTGGCGAATTCCTATGTACCATTAATTTGTCATCTTAATTAATCTTATGTTTATGAGTTCTAGTTGTCAAAATGGCTATGCTACCTTTGTCAGCCGGTTAGCACAATTCTGTTTGCCTTGTGAAGCCGGAAAAAGACTAAAATCAGGTGAGTGACGAAGATGAGGACGAGTAGAAGAATTCAGAAATCGAGTTTTATTTCCTTCTCCAGATAATTCAGAAACCCTTACTGGCCAAGTGGTTAAGGTGATTATAAATCTAATGGGCAGTTCCCTGTGCATATTCTATACAACTACAACTGTTTTAATCTTGGGAGAAAAATGAGCAGTTTGAGACAGGTGCGGTAAATAAAAGTCTCTAATCTCCACAGTCCTATAAAATCTCTTAAAGAACTATTCTCTACCCTTTTGTTAATGTCAATGTTCTCTGCCCCACCAAAGAACTTCTATTTTGGTACTTAGAAACCAGATTTTGTGCCAGAAAGCTAAGAAAAAATTAAGTGGCCTACAGCCCATGTGATTTTAAACAAATACATATTTTCAGCATAATACTATTTCTTTAAAAAAAAAAAAAAAGTGTCGTCTTAGTGGAAATAAAGGAAACTGGTGGTTGTAAACATGACCACCACTGATTTGGGGAAGCGCTTGTATTATTTAACATATACTTGCAAGTTCAAAATTCATTACAGCCACGGATACAATGCAGTAAATGCAGGAAACAGATATACATAGGTGAAAGCTGGAAAAGTCTTCCTTTCCAGTCTTCAGCGACAACACACATATGCTAACTGTTGAGCGATGAACTACAGTCAGCTGTGAATAGGGAATCAGAGTTGATGAAGGGAACTGGCCACCACATGATCAGCCATGGGGGTGGAACCTTAGCCAGGAACCAAGAGCACATCATGAATCACCGTGTTTACTTTAAATATGCTGACAATCTGGTTTATAGTGACTTGGTGCATCAGAATATAAAATAACATTACTCAGTAAATGTGAACAATCCAGCACTTTACTTTTCAAGGTGTGGTCAAGGGTCCTCACCATGGTAGTTGTCTACAGAGTTAAGTGAAAAGTGAATGGAAGAGTTTTGCTGTATTAACAGTGCCCAGGCAATTGTCTCCTTCAGGAATGGCAGCAAGTTTTGAGCCAAAATTTGCATAGGTACTTGCTAGACAGCCAAAAAGAGCATTGTAGGCAAAAGAAACACAAAGAGGCATGACAGTTAAGAGTTTATAAGGAACTGTAAATAATTCGGTGAGATGGAGTGTGAAGGTAAGAGAGGCTGTGTGAGGGAGAGGAATTGGAAGCAAAATGTGGCTGTCTTGGGCTCGATTCTAGTCACACACTTACTGAAGCAGGGGCCTCGTCTCCAACACCAGGTAGATGAGATTGAAATCGGTGTACTGGCCACAAATACTAAAAGCCAGGAAGAACAGAACACTGTGTGCCATGCAGACAATTGAAGGGCTACATTGAAAAGCAGAAAAATCTCCTAGAGCCTTGGAGAGGCAGCCATTGAAGTGATGAGAGGCTGGGGCTTCAGAGCTGGCAGAGAAATGACCCATTATATTGATAATTGAGGGAACACAGCCTGTCTGGCTCATAAGGAAACAGGCCTAATTGAGAGTCTTCCCTGTTACGAGGGGACAGATCTGGCAAGTCTGGAAACTTGAGAAAGGGTCTCTCACCTGTGAGAGGCAAAGCTGTCAAGAAAGGACTAGAAATTTTAGATCTTATAGTACACTCTGGAGTTATGGCAGAACAGTTAGAGAAAGGGCAGATCACTAAGGGAATCAATAAGTAATACAAACATTTTGATTTTGTTTTTCCAAACAATTGTAAGCGAATAATATGAATAGGTTCTAGTGACAAAAAAAAAAAAAAAAAAAAAAAAAACCATGAAATTCTTATGTGTATTTGTCCTTTGGTCTTTGATTAATTTACCTTTCAAAAACTAATTTTCCTTCTATGTCGGGGTCGCTCCCGGCCGGCAGGAAAGACACACGACAAAGTCTGGCGGTGTGCAACCTTGCCTTTATTTATCTCCGCGTGGGCCCCTCGAGGCCTCCACTCTGCCACCAGCCCTTTCTCGCCGGTGGACTTTTTCTATCTCTCTCTGTGCTTTCTCTGTGCTTCCTGTCTCGTGGCGGGAGAGGCATTCACTTTTATAGGGTGACAGTGGCCAATCAGTTCAAAGCGCGCGATGCGGGCTGATTGGCTAACATCAGTTGTTGCTAGGCAGACTATCTTACAGAGCGGGTTGTTTAAGTCGCCAGCGCAATCAGGGGGCAGGAAGCAGGCGCCAACTTGACTCACTCCATGGGAGGGGCAATCTAGCTCAGGCTCCGCTCCCACCCACAGGCCCTACGTCCGCCAAGTAAGGCGACCGGTGTCGGCGGCTCCCAACACTTCTAATTGAGAAAAGAAAAGTTTGGGTGATGCTCATCAAGGTCTGACCATCCGTATTGGTCATCATCACTGAAATATTATACACAATTTAAACAAGTCTTAACCCCATACACAGACTTCACCTTCCATACTCCTGCCTTCAACTCCATCCATGTCACTGGAAACTTAGTCATTACAGGACAAAAGAATCGTGGAGTAGTGTATAACTTCTGTTGCTCTCACATGCCAAATCCAATCATTAAGATTTTCAAAAAATATCCATAAACCAACTACTGCTCACCTCTTCCACAATTACGCGTGATAGTTTAGGCAAAAATGACAATATGTGTCATATGGATGTTGCAAATAGTTTTGCAACCAATCTCTATATCCAGGAAGACAGAAAAGCATAAGTCTGTATTCAATTTTTTTTTTTGCAGAATAGAACTCTTTTCATTAAACTTACCTTTAAAATGATTATAGAATTCAACACTACATATATGAAGAATTCAGCACAGTTTTATTGGACCACTACTCTTTGCCAGGAGGTATTCCGTGCACAAGGGAAAAAAGGCTATGTAAGATCCACTCCTTGACTCCAGAATTTTTTTTACTAATCTAGAAAAGCCAAGTCCTACCAAAAAAAAACAAGACATTGTTTCTAGGGCCTGCAGTATGGGAAAAATAAGAAAACAGCTTATGTGTAGACTGCTGACATCTTCAGACAAAGTACAGAGTCACAAAGATTTACCGAGAGTCTTAAAAGAAAACAGCCTAAAGTACATAGAGGCATACTGTCCAAAAAAAGTCACCCAAAACATAATTTTAGATCATATCTTGTTATGGAATTAAGCACTCCTCAGAACATTGTAAATCTTGTAAATATTTTTTTCTTTATAGGATTATTTTATCTTATAGCCTCTTGTTTTTATATTGTTTCAATAACTCGTTCATAAAAATTCTTAACAGTACAAGAAAACTTTGTTCTGTTTTGTGTTTCTTCTTTTGTGCATATAAGGAAGCTCAGACTATAGTAGTGGCCTGGATGTCTCTTATACCCCCTTTTCTTTTTGAAACAGAGACTTACTGAACAGTGCTTGGATGCCACATTGTGAAAAACAGGGAACTTGCCTGGAGATTAGGAGAAGGTGACACTAGTCGTGCCTGGGGTCTGCAGACACCCAAGCACCGCGATCCTAACGTTGGTAGGGAGAAACTGCCTTTCAGCTGCGGTTTCCTTGGCAACCGCGCGACCAAAGCTGGCGCCCTGAAGTCTCGGACAGTGCACGTGGAGAGTCTGCATTAGGAAGGAACTGTGAAAAGCTTCCTAAAAAAATATCTTTTGAGGTAGCTAACATGTAATATTTTGGCATCTTTTAGGGTACTTACAGTGCAGTATTTTTGCTGCGGAAAGTCGTAGAGCAAACAACTTTTCTCTCCGTGAAGCAGCCAGAGACCCTGAGGCCGAAATAATTGTCATTCTGACCTCTCATAAATCCCGCATCCAGCATCCCAAATAATCCACGTCATCCACAATTTGCATTTTCCGATTATAAAATGGGAGTGTCACTGCCTTTTTGTTACTACTAAATGAATTT